GCAATTCTTTAAAATACTTAATAAAGGCAGCCAAAAGCTGGCTACAAATAGAATCTAAAAAAAAAAACAGAAACTTGAAAAAACCCAGTTTTTAATGTATTTTTGTAATTTTTAATTTTTCACCACAAATATTTAATAAAATCACAATTTTATAATTATTTGCAAATCTACATGGGTTAGGCTTTCTCTAATGACCCATTATTTAACAAAATTGGTCCAGTAGAAGTCTAGATTTAGTTGTACAAAGTTTATAAAAAATATCCCAAACTCAATATTTTCTCATTTACTATAAATTCAGATGCTTAGGTTTTTTGCAAATAACTTTTAAATGGTGAGGAAATCGACCAAAGTGGTAGGTGATATTCTGAAAGAGAATAAAATTTCCTACAAATTGATACCATGCACTTCTTAGAAATATTCAAAAATGGCAGCTAAAAGTCGCGCACAAATAAAATGTGTGAAAAACACCGTTTTCAAAGTATTTCTTATGGAAAACACATTTTCTTTAATTTATTACCATAAATCATAAGAAAAACAAACTTTCATAATTATTTGCAAATCTACACGACTTAAGCTTTCCAACGACCCATTAATTAATAAAATCGGTCCAGTAGAACTCTAGATTTAGTTGTACAAAGATTTTTAAAACTGAATTATATATAGAACTAGCTGTACCCGCGGGCTTTGCCCCGTTTAACATCATATGTGAGCTCGTTCGCATGGCTCAATCACGTCCTGGTTGAAGTTCGTTCGCTACGCTCACTCACCTTTAGGTTGGAGCACGTTCGCTGCGCTCACACGTCCTGGTTGAAGTTCGTTCACTACGCTAACTCGCCTCCGGGTTGAAGTTCGTTCGCTTTGCTCACTCACCTTTTGGTTTAAAATTAGCTGTTGTCAAATATTAAAAAAAAAATAATAGTGCTGCACTCTGTTGGTAATCCTTGTAACTTTAATGCTATTGAACATCATAGAACAGAACCAACTTGTTTAATTGAAACAGCTGTTAAGATTCATTTATTCTATTTAAATATGAGTACTCATTAGGTTAACATGGGAAACTCCAGAGCCACTGGGGCGGAGCCCGAGAGTCCGATCAGAATAAAAACCACTTAGTTTTCCTATTTAATGCCTAAAGAATCAGTGTACCAAATTTCAGCCTCCTAGGTAAATGGGAAGTGGGAGAATTAGTGATGAGTGAGTGTGTCAGTGAGTCAGTGAGTCAGTGAGGGCTTTGCCTTTTATATATATAGATAGATGTTGAATAACCTAATGAGAAACCTAATTTCTCTGTTGATAACATCATTTGTTTAACTTCATATCAGTAATATTTCAAATAATCATATTGAGCAATTTTCTAGTATAAAGTCATGTTATGAGAGAGGGCGCATGCAGAGTTTTGTTCCGCAATAATGCAATTATACATATACATGCAAACAAAATATATTTGATAATAATTATAAATGAAATTATAGATTTAAACATGTTTATAATTTTGTATGTATAAAATATACAAGCAGTTTGACAATAGCGCATGAGGAAATAAACTCTGCGCTAAGGACTTACGCGATAGGGCGCACGCGGAGTAAACATCCGCAAACTGACACCTTGTGACTGAATTGCAACTGACAACCAAATGAGGAGGAATTGGGGGGTAAAAATAACTTAGGGGCATACCCGGGATGAGGTCCGTGAAGTGTAGAGCCGGACACGACTGCCGACACCCATTATGCATATTTATATTATATATAACAATAATATATTGTATATATATTGTATTGTATGTATTGTATTATATATTGTTAATATATTGTATATTTATATTAACAAAAACAAGTGTGGATGAAAACTCCGCAAGCGCCTGCTCGAGGGTTAAGTACTTGTTTAACCTAATTTTATTTAAATATGGAATAAATCTATATTTTTTAGGAAAAGATTTAGTTAAAACCCAATGAGAAAAATTGGAAATTAATTTAGTCTGCAGGTTTGTTGTGGCAGGGGTGTTTTTTAATACGATCAGGGCTGTATTTCCCTAATGGCGGATACGGCGATTGCCAGGGGCCTCGGCCTAAGAGCAGGCCACACTTGGGGCCTAATTTTTTTTCTTGATAAATTTATTTCACCGATAATCTTTTTTGCAGGAGACGTTGATGAAATCAGCGCCACTGCAAAAGATCTTCACTATTTCTCCGTTAACGTAGGAGTTGTCACTATTCAACCGCGATCCCTATTCAACTAGGATTTTATCGCGACCGCGGGGGAGTCGAATATCATGTCCCCGAAAACAAGGAGGATCTTCACGATTTCATAATGATCAAAGGAGACGAAGATGACGTCTCCATGATCGCGCATGACGGTAACTATTTCTCCGCGGCCACAGAACACTTTCATTATTTCGTCTTGATCGGTGGAGACGAAGATTATGTTTCCGCACTCGTGCAAGATGTTACCTTTTTCTCCATGGCCTCAGAATACTTTCATGGTTTCGCCGTTCTCGGGCAACCCACAAACAGTTACTTCACGGCCATAGGAGACGTTCGTGATTTCACCCTGATCGGAGGCGACGATGATGACGTCCCCGGGCTTGTGCAAGATTCTAACTATTTCTTCGTGGCCACAGGAGATGTTCATGATTCTAGTGTGTTCGGAGAACACAGGAGACATTCATGTTTTCGCCGGGATTGCAGAAAACGAGGATGATGTCTCTGTGATTGCACATGATGTTCACTATTTTGCCGTGAACATAGACACGTACTGTTCACAATCCCTCCGCAACCAAGCAAATGTGCACGATTTTACTGATTCCAGATTTTGTATAAGCCGATTATAGTATTTTAATTAATATGTTTTAAATTAATTATTTCTGAAACTACCTGATTTTGATCCAATGCCAAAGATCAATGCTGTTTACTCATTCTAAAAGAAATTAAAAATGTCTTGTCCCGACCTAAGACTCCTAATAATATTATTTTAAAATAATTATAGAGTTATTATTTTATTAGCTAGTTTCCGAAGTCTTTTTGCGAACAGATCGTTGAAAACAATCGAGTTGAAGCAATACCTCGTTTCAACCCTTATTAAGGTTCCAACCTTTTGAAGAATCCGAATATAGAGGGGCTGCACTGATGAGAGCCGTCGGGGGCCTCATCGATTCTAAATACGGCCCTGAATAGGATATAACCCCTTAGTAATACTTAACTTGCACACACTTATCTTTTTTTTGAGGAGAGGGATATAGGAGGGAGATGATTAGGTTACTCACTAGGATTTAGTTTTAACGCCTTAATTCCTAGAAATTGATTCAGCATTATAAAATTATAAACTCTAGCCTACATTTTGGGTCGCCGGATTTCTACCCCCGGATATTTACCCCCATGAAAAAACGCCTACGTCATTTTGACGTCACGAGGGGCGGGGTTATAACGGTCGAGAAACAGCCCGCGACCGGAAATCTACCCCCGGACATCTACCCCCGGACATCTACCCCCGGAAATCTACCCCCGGACATCTACCCCCGGACATCTACCCCCCGTGGTCGGCTCTGCCACGTATCGGCCAATATTCATTGTTGTAATTGATTTTATTAATTGCTTTATGTAATGTAAATCAACGGCTCTTCGGTGAATCATTACCCTCTAATATCTAGTATTAAGCATGTGATATGTCATTGCCTTGTTTAACATTATCTATCTTCCTAATAAAATAAGCTGTAACAGCCCTATTTCACCCGAACTACTTCACTGATATTTATGATTGAGGTGTAATTTTAAATCTTAAGATCCAGCCCACCGCAAAATGGTATTTAAAACTATATGTTGATAAAGGACTTTCAAAGTGTGACCCTTAAGCATTTGATTCATTTCCAGACAGTGATTTAAATGGTTGACCAACTTTCACATACAGTAACAGCTAACGGCGCATGCATGAGCGCGGATCGGAAGTGTTTATCACAAAAGATTGACCAATATGATTTTAATACTATTTAAAGGTTCTTCCAAAAGAAGAGAAACCAGTTAACATTGTAATAATAACTCTTATGACGTGGTATGGGAAATATTTTATTCATTGAATGATCAACCATATTTTGTAACTAACGCAATAGTCATTATTGCTTTTACACTTATTACTCATCAAAAAAGCTAAAGAACTAAATGTTCAAAATTTTTATTACTTCAATCTATTTATCGCAGTTATATGAATTAGCATAAGCCTTGAAAGTAACCGTCAATGTCGACGGGTTTCACCTAATTCTGTTCTGTATACTACCTAACATAATGCCTCATTTTAAAATTTTACTGGCAGAAAACCTGCTTATTCACTTCCTATATGGTATTCTTATGAATGAATCTTTTGAACACTTATTTATAAGTTGACAAGTTTTGTTTTAAGGCAGGATTTTCCAATAAGACTTTATACATTCTCTGAATATGCGAATGTGCTGCAATGGGGGTATTTAGGCGTATATATATATAAAAGATATTAGGCTATGCTTAAAAAATTGAATGTGGCCATTATTTTGAATTTGAATAATTGTCTTATTTTAGGTATTTAAGAGAAAATAATTTAAAATCCTTTCTTAGTACGCATCTAAAATCTTAGAAACTAATCAAACATGAACAACAGACATCGACATATCGCATGTTTACTACTGGATATAAGAAGGTAAAGCAATTTATAAAATCAATTACAACAATGAATATTGGCCGATACGCGGCAGAGCTGACCACGGGGGTAGATTTCCGGGGGTATATGTCCGGGGGTAGATGTCTGGGGGTAGATGTCCGGGGGTTGATTTCCAGTCGCGGGCTGTTTCTTGAACGTGTATAAGCCCCGCCCCTCGTGACGTCAAAATGACGTAGGCGTTTTTTCATGGGGGTAAATATCCGGGGGTAGAAATGACTTAACAACAAATAATCTAATTGTTATTAAAAAAAGTTTTTTTTTTTTAGTCCATACCTACTGTACATTGTTAATAATTTAATGGCCTTAGATTTATGTCTTACCTGCCAACACTTGGGAAACTCCCAGTCCAGTTCCAGCCCATCAAAGTTGTGTTGATAAATGAAGTGCAGGAGATGTTCAATGAATCTGCGTCGGCTGGTGGGAGAGTGAACCAGTCTGCTGTACTTGTCCCCAGCAGAATCCATCCATCCTCCAATGGCGATAGATACCTTTAATCCCCTTTTTTTGAGGTCGGTAACTTTGGTGTATAGTCCTAAAAGTTGTTAAGACAGTTATCTATTATTTTGTTTACAACCTGAAACTGAATGATACTGAGTTATTTGACAAATAATTATCCCTGGGATTTCCATTTCCATTCCACATAAGCTTGCACTTGAAATCCGCACAGCATCTCCCGTAGGCACCGAGGTGTCATCATCGTCTTCCAAGTTCTCGGTAAAAACCTGAATATCTTATCTTCATAGGTTCTTGGGAATATTATCATCGTCCTCATTGACCGTACCGAAATTGTGAATACTTCCTGCAGTCACGGAAACATTACCATCGTCTACCATGATTGCAACCAAACCCAGGATATCTCTTGCGGTTTTAAATAGACAACATTGTCGTCTTCCGCGATCACGGCCACTGCCCCAAGGGAAGTTACCTATTTTCTCTTTTGATAGATCATCTAGAGACCAATACCTTTCTTTATACACCTCATCCAAGTTTCTACGCCCAGCCGTTCTCTCAAATTATTTTCTCCATAAGAATAACATGGGAATTGAAATTTAATTGACCTTGTTACCTTTTTATGGCTCATCTACAGATCAAGACCTTTTTTTAGACACCTCTCCTAAGTTTCTACGTCCAAGTTCTCTCAAATTAGTTGAGACAATAAAAAGTAGTGTAGTCAATAAATTATGGATTAAATTGTCCAATCCAAAATATATCACAACTTATACCATTTTTTATATGTATTTATCATCTTTAAATTAACAATATGTTTCAAGGTTATTGGACTTATTTTTATTTACTTTCAGTAAGTATAACCTTTGTAACTTCTCAAACTCACAGCAAATAAATATAAATAAAGGTTTTGCAATCCCGGTTTCTGGGTATAAAAACTGGTTGGGATCCCGGGATCCCAAATCTGACCCAGCTGTCTTTAAACATTGGGCTTTTAATAATGGTCCTGATATGAACAAATGGAACAGCTATCTTAAATTCAAATTCAAATTTTCAAATTCAAATTCTTTATTAAGCATGTGGACATAGTTACAATGTATATGCCAAGTCAAAATTACAAAATGGCAACCAAATAAAACAATCCCTCTAAAAACTAATTATACATTTTCAAACTTATCAGTTAAAAGGCATTTACTGAGTAATACATTTTTTCAATTAACAAACATTTCAACCTCCTCCTAAATACTACATAATCTTGAACGGATCTTAAACTTGGTGGGAGATTGTTGAAAAGAACTATTGCTGAATATTTTAAATGATGCTGAAAAAATGTGGTGGAGTGTGGCGGGATATTCATAATGCATCTGGGCTTACTTCTTGTTCCATAAGTGTGAGATGGAAGAAATTGACGAAAAAGATGGTAGTTTTTATGCAAAAATGATAAAGTTTCAAAAATATAAATTGATGGGAAGGTTAAAAGTTTGTTGGACGAGAAAAGTTTAGTACATGAGGTTCTGGATGAAACCTGAAAAATTAATCTTATAGCTTTCTTCTGAAGCCCAAACACTGACTTGGATCTGGTGCTCTCAGAGCCCCAAATTGAAACCCCATAGGATATAAATGGATATATAATACCATAATAAGTGGTCATGAGTATATCGATGCAAAGCGAACCAGTTTCCGGAGCACAGAAATACCCTGACTCAGTTTATTACATACGTGATCTATATGATCATGAAACGTCAAATTGCGATCAATGATTAGACCAAGGAACTTAACGGAGTGTTCTGAAAACACAGGTATATCACCCAAATAAATACTGAGCAAACTGCTATTTGAATTACAGTTGATAGATAATTCAATAAGGGTAGTTTTCAAGATATTATTTCCTTGTAGTCTATTTTGCTCAAGCCAATTAACAAGTGCATTCCCCTCTAAGAACGTATCAAGTTCTAGGCGGTTTCTTGATGGGCTAGAAAACGTTAATGACGTGTCATCAGCATAGAGGCACAAGTTTGGAACAGACAAGCCCTGCCAAATATCGTTGATAAATAACAAAAAAGGACAGGGCCTTGTGGCACGCCCTTATTGACAGTTCCTTTTTTGGAAACCCTATTGCATATGTTATTTGACTTATCAACGGAATTTACCTTGACGAATTGCACCCTTTCAACTAGATATGACTGAAACCACTGAAGTGCAATACCTCTAATCCCCATATTGAACATTTTATTTAGCAGAAGACTATGGTCTACCAAATCAAATGCTTTAGTTAGATCAAAGAACAAGCCACTGGAGCGGTTGCCCGAGTCGACAGTATCAACAATGTTTTGTACGACACAAAACATAGTAACATAGTAACATAGTAAACATCAACTGTACTCTTCCCTCGGGTAAACCCATATTGATGTTGAAACATTAACTTGTTGCGCTGCAAGAAACTCCAAATCCTATTTAATACAATTTTTTCTATAACTTTGGAGAAGGAAGAAATGATTGAAATCGGCCTGTAATTTGAGCAGTCTAGTTTGCATCCTTTTTTATGCAGGGGGGTAACCATAGCCAGTTTCAAACAATCAGGGAATGTCCCAATCGAAAATGAGTGATTAATCAAATCACAAAGAGGCTCAGCTAGCTCTTGGGCAACTTTTTTCATCAAGGCAGATGATATTCCGGTTAAACCAGCAGAATACTTTGTTCTCATTCTGTGAACTGATTCGGCCACCTCTTTGGGGGTTGTAGGTGACAAGAAGAAAGAATTCAAAGGCGAAGTGTTTGCTACCGAGGAGCTGAAAACTGTCGAAGCATTATCGCATTTATCACCGATATTGAGAAAATAATTATTGAAGATATTACACACCTCTGACGGATCGTTGACAACCTCACCCACATTATTACGAATCGCTTAGTCAGTAACAAAGCTACAAAAGATTATCTTATTCTATTCTACCTTTGATTATTCTTCACTTTTTTGGGTTAAAATGTGCACCTAGATAGCACCCCCATCTCAATTGATAATGATAATAATAATAATAATAGCAGCACATTCTGGTGTTATTAAACATCAAACCATACACACAATGGCACAGCTGGATCTTGAGGAAATTGGCGTGTTGCCCTTGCTGATGACAACGAGCCTGGCCCTGGCAGCAAAGTTCAGGATGTACTTCCCCTGGGAATTAGTGAGGGTCATTTCCCACTCGACAGCCCTAGCATTGACATCACTAGCCACGACTACATACCCTGTTGTGTCGTGTACGCTCTCTTCCAAGCGGTCTATAGTCACAGATAGCCTCGTTAGGGGTGAGGTAGACACTGTAGTAGGTCACGTCCTTGCAGCAAACCCAAACAAATCCACGACCCTTTCCATGACCCCGCACTTGCACTTGAGCTGTATTACGCGCCCAGAAAGCAGCGTACTGGGAAGACTATCGGGGAACCAAAAGGGTAGGACGTTATTCCGGTACTGGTACTGTTCGCTGACTAAGAGCGCGTCAACACCGTGTTCAAGGGCAAGATGACTGAGAAGCGTGTCAGCTGTCCTGGATCGCCCAAGATTACATTGGAGTATTCTTATTTTCAGGGGTGGGCTTTTGCTTGCTGGAGCACAGTTTTAAAAGCACTGCACTGCCCAGACCCAGCTATATGTTTTGTGTTTTTGTCCGCGAGCCCATTTTCCATACAAAGAAAGCAAGACTCGACTTGGCAGTCCCTACAAGCATGACCCACTCCTCCGCACCGGAGGCAGTGCTTGCCTCGGTTGGGCCTCTTGCAGTTTCGGGAGGAATGACCCAAACCGAGGCACCTAAAACACCTGGTTACGTCCACGAGCCTGCAGTTGACCCAACCGACCCTCAAATGCTGGAGTGTCAACTCCTTACTAGCGTGCGTGTCTGCCACTTCGGCGACCGCCATCCGCTCCTGGCATCTATTAGGTTTTGTGAGCCACACCCTAAGAACAGCCAATCTTTCGGCAAGCTCGGGGACTGCCTCCTTTAGGGCCTCAACTACCTCACTCTTTGTCGACACACCATCAATGTCCCGAACCTCAACTGCCGTTTTAGGCTCGAGTGCAAATAATCTAAATACCATGATCTATAAAACGGGTGTAATGAGACACATTACACGTTGATATTATTTCGTTAATTAGCCATAGAAACCTGACCACTTCCAGGTATTACTTTAATCCCGAGTTTTAAAACAAAATCCTAATTTATGTAGCTATCAGAACTACCAGTATCAATTAAGGAGTTAGCATGTCTACCATTTACTCTGGCTGACACGACAGCTTTTGACAAGCAAGCAGGTCCGGGGGCAGTAATATTAGATGTGGTAGGCCTATTTTCAGACGAATCGGAAAAAGCAGACACTTTATTGTTTTGACTAAAACCTCTGTTGACAGCTTTGGATTTACATACCATTGAGAAGTGACATTTTTTACCACAACAATGGCAGGTGACATCTTTTGCTGGACATACAGAACGGGGATGACGCTGATGGTCACAGAAGAAACACCTAGACTGTGCAGCAGCTTACATTTGTGAACTTTCTGACTGAATTACATTTTCTTCCTGCTTGATACGTTGACTTGCCTCAAGAATTGCATTTAGTACTTCACTAAAAGTATGATTTCTGTATTTATCGTAAACTTCTGCATTATTCTGAGCCATTTCTAGAGCTAGAGATTGATTAATACAGTAGTATCTTTAAGTTCTAATTGTTTGTTTTCCAAGAGCCGTTGTCAAATGTCAGCAGATAGTAAATTGTTTATGAATGCATCTCGTATATAGTCACATCGGGTTTATTTTTAGGTTACAGATTTGAATTCACAGTCTTTACTTAATGATTTCAAAGCTTGGACATATTGTTGAGGGTTTTCATTTAAATTCTGTTTTCTTGTAGCTAATTTGTGTCTTGCAAAATTAGTTAGGAGATAAGCAAAATATATCTTTTAATGTATTGATAGCTTCTTTGTATGTTGAATGTTCTTCAATGAATTCAAATGTCTTATAAGACACAGCATTCATTGAAAAATTAGTACTTTCCAAAAATCTTCATTTAAAACTTGCAATGTCAACATAGTTT